TTTTTTCTTTCAATTTGCCAGAAAGTTCTTTGTGAAGCCATGCTGGTTTCTTCTTGGATTCCTTGTTTTTCTTTCTCAGTGGTATTGTGCTGGTCTGGGATTCTATGATCATACTTTTTAGAGTTTCCCAAGATTCTTGAATTGTTTTCCCCTTTAGGATTTTCATCCATGGAATCTTTCCCAAGTTCTTTCTGAGTTTATTGAAATCAGCTCTTTTAAAATCCAAGACTCTGGTGTCATTATGTTCTTTTGCTTGTGTTTGTGTTATGTTGATTTTTTTCTAGGAAAAATTATAGTGAGACAAAGCTTAAATTGTAAAGTCCTCTCTTTTGAGTTTTGCAAGACAGCTACAGAAATCCAAAGGGTCAAGCACTAGGTTTTTAGGTTCAAAATATTGGGTAATGGCAATTGCTAGGAAAAAGCCTTAAGGCAATGTTTTCCAAACGTTTTTCTTCATTCACTTCACTAATCAGTTTTGTTGAGAAGTGGTGTCTTAATGAGTGCTGCAAGATATTATTAGGTTCAATGAATAAAAAATATGACTTGATATACAGTGGCTTCTGTGTTTAAACAAATTTTTAATCTTTCCAAGCTGCTGTGGATCCAATACTAAACTTCACGGAATGTAAAAATCAAGCCACTTTGATGATTTGGATGCTACATTTTTGCTCTATTCGAAGAAAAACAAACTTCCATTCAGGGAATAAGATGGATGCACTTCTATGAAAATAATTGTCATTCTATTCATGGAGGAAAAGTAAAAATGGGCAATATATTTAACATATACAGTATATTCAGCACATACTATACATTCCAAATTAATTGAAATAGCATATTTGTCTTCTAGATATTTCATCAGAAGATGCCTACCTTTTAGTAAACTAGCCTCTTTTTATTTATTTATTTTCTTTATAAGCTATTAATTATCCATTTTTTAATTTACATGCTCTGGAGAAATAGAGGTGATTTGAACATTCAAAACTGCTATTTAAGAAAGTAACTGATACATCTGATATACCCGGCTGCTGTTCGTTATTTTTCCATCAAACATGCTGAAAGGTATAGGCCACAACACAGGAGCACTGGTCAAAAATAGAGCCTTGTGAGCAATAAAAAGTTAAGGAAGCATATTGGACAGTTTAATGTGTTTTCATCTTGTAACATAAAGCTCATTCCCAGAATTTCACTGGACCATGTGGACAGGCCAACTGTCACAGCTGTCTATCATTCCTGAATTAGCTGAAGGCAGACAAAGCAAGCTTTGTGAGGAAAGCAAAGCAGGAGAGCCTCCAGCGTTTCCATTTTTCATTCAAGGGCACTGTGGCAGCATTGTCTTTCCCCTCTCTGAGAAGAGAATGGAACAATTATGTTAGTGAAATTCCATAGTGAGTTTGAAAGACTGTTTATGTCCTGGCAGCGAGACAGTGAAGACTAAAAAAGAGTTCCATGACAGCAGGATAGAAGGTTTGACATAGATTCTTTTGTAGCAGGGCAGATCTGATGGTCCTGTCTCACAACAGTGTAAGTCAGAAGAAAATCTACAGATAGAAATGGGATAGAACTCATATGAACAGATTTTTATGTATTTATGACTTTTGTAGCAGAATCTTTTTTCATTTGGGAATTTACAGAATTTCTTCTCCAGCTAGCAATTTTTATTCCATACCACCTTTCCAAGTGGAATCTCAAATCACCATTTTGAAGAGGAACAGAACAGAGAAATAACTATGTTTTGAATGGAATATAGAACTGTTATGGATATGTCCATATCACTGAAATCTTTTATATAAAATTAGAAAAGTGAGTTCTGTGCATGGGATTAAAAAGTGAAATATTGTGCAAGATTTCCACTGGGGATTGTTAATTCAGTTCATGTAATAATACTGAGAGTCATCAGATACCCACATTCCTCAAACATTATCTTTAATATATCATCACCCAGATTTCCTCAGCAACTTTCTAGGTCAACTTTATGCTTTATAGATTACACTGATCTATTTTAACAATAATTATTTTTCCTTGTACTGTTTTTGTTCAAAGGGACTATATGTGGAATAAGAAATTCTGTATATACAAGAAAACATCCAGATTACTTTATGCATTTATTGATATCCAAGTAAACATTCATAGAAATGCAGTGCAGAGGTTGGTCTGTAGACTGGCTGTCTTGATTTTAATATCATTAAGCCACTTTGTAAATAAAAGTTGAATGTGATCCTAGTATTCTAGTATCCTTTTCTTGTATTTAATTTTGCTTAATGATTCTCATTTTTTTTCCTTTTAGTACCTTTTTAAAATCATAGCATGAATTATTTATCAATTTCATTTCAGCCTAAAAATATTATGCAGCCTGTTGTTACTGGGGGAAATCAGTAGGGCTTAATTCTCAATTTCCAGTTGCCATCAATGGCAGCCCCATGAAGTCACTGCACAGGTACACAATGTGGTTCAAAGAATGGTTGTCCCCCATTTCCAATTCTATGACTGGCTCTGAACCACCACTAATTTCTATGGCTGAGGACAGAGAGGAAGGTAAGTGCAGAGAAAGTGGGACGAAGATGGAGAAGGATGAAACAACACATGCAGAAAGAAGTGAGTATGGGGAAAAGGTGAGGATGGAGAACAATAATGCAGGGAAATTGAATGAACAAAAACACTAGCAGCAAGAAGACAGAGTGGTGGCATGCAGCAGAGAAATTGTGCACATATTTAAGATGACTTACTCGGGAAGATTTGTGAACTGGATGAGAAGATTGACAGAGATGATAGCAAAAGGGTAAATATGATGAGTATGATAAGGAAATCTGCAAAGAGTTCCAACTTACTTTCCTCTTTCACACATACCATTAGGCTAAAGAGCAAAATTTTCTAAAATGGACATACACCCTTTGGCAGTAACTCTTCAGGGCAGCCATTTTCAAAACAGTTTTTAAAATTAAAGCTTGGACTATTAGGAAGTGAGACCAAAAATCTCACAGGTTCCTTTATCTCTACCATGAAAGGTTTGGTTTCTTGATCAAATTACTAGTTTTTCAGTCTCATCAGTTTTCCATTTGGTGAAATGAATGTAGTCCAATGAAGCAAAACACTACACACATTTTATTAAGACTTTATAAAGACTTCGTTATCATTAGACAACACATATGCTTTCATTGTCTATTTGACCATGCCTGTAGTTGGATGGGATGATATTTGTACTTTGTATCTTCTAGACATGACTGGGTTTCTCTAATAATTCCAATTCTGGAAATTTCTGATCACTTATATTATTGTGTTTTTTAAAATCATCATTTTTTTAATGTGAGTAAAAGGATTCTTTAGCACATTATTTGACTATTGATTGTAGAACTTTAATGCCAGTGACCACTGAACAAAGTTCTGAGAAAACATTAACTAAGTACTTACAAGAAAATAGAAATATATCATTTAATTTTGAACATGGCCTATTGTGCATGTTCCATGTCAAGATATAAAAAGTTAAGCTGCAACATTCCAATTATAATGGCTTTTGCTAAAATCTCTTAGGACAAGCATATACTTTTTCGGCCTCAATTAGCACTAAACTAATTAACACAGCTCTCTTATATATTTCTGTACAATACCTCCATTATTTCTTGCCAGTCCCTGGTGTGATGTAAGAGTGATTGAGTAGTTAATTAGTCCATAATTGTATTTAAACATTATATACTTGTTCAAGCTGAGTACTCCTTCCAAAATAAAACCAAATGAAACTGAGCTGGATTGATATAAGAAATATACTCCCAGTATTAAAGAAATGAAACTTGTCTGTAAAGTATTGATAAAAATGAATTTTATTAAAAGTAGTGATTATATAGAGCATGAAGTAATACAAATTACTTCACCTGATTTAAAATTTATTACATCAAAGTACGTTCCTTTAGCCTTCCTTAAAAATTAATATCTGATTGTATTAACATATTAAAAATAACACTTTAGGGGGTAAAGTCACATTTTCTTTTTTAGTTATACAACTACATCTTGATAACAATATATTGCTTTTACATTTGAAATCATATTGGCTTCGTAAAAATATTATTCTAGTAAACTTGCTTCTTTAATTCATATCTGACGATTTTTATATTATACACTTTTTTCATTTGATGAGGCTTAGAATGATACATGATTAATATGTTACATTAGAATTGGACATGATATATTCTTGATCTTATACTCACCATTTTCCAGAAAAATACCAAGAATCACTTAGAATTCCTGAATCTTATCAATTGAGAACTAGGAGAAAACCAGAAAGAAATCACAGAAGTTGCTAACAAAGAATTAGAAAAGAGACTGCCAAAGACCAAGAATAAATGAAGGAAATTGCCTAGAAGAGAAACCCAAGGCCAAGAAAGACAAAGATCTAGGGAAGAAACTTAACAAAGAATTTCAGAGAACTGTTAAAAATTACAATGACATCTGTAAAGGCATCAAAAATTAAGAGACAGGAAAAAACAAGGAAAGCCTTCCAAAGATCTGTGAACTCTGAAAGAGCTTTACATACAAATCTTGAATTGGTATGTAAAAGAACAGCAATAGATAAATGAGAATATCTATAAATGAGAGAATATCTAAGAAAGATGGAAGGTGTATGCTGAAATTCTGTATGGCAGAAGTATTAATATCTAAGCTATCTTAAAAGACATTACTTTTTTACAAGAAGCTCTCATACTAAAATATAAAGTTAGATCAGCACTCCAGTTAGTGCCAAGTCAAAAAAGCTACAGGAATACATAGAATTTCTGCAGAAATGTGGCAAGCAACAGAAGAAGAATCTGTAAAGGTTCTAACTAAAATATATCAGCAAATCTGAGGAATAACATAATTGTCAGCTGGTTGGAAAAAGTTAGTCTATATATCAGTACCAAGTAAATATTTGACAGAGAGCAACCTAGTGTATAAGTTCATCCAAAGGAGCTTTTTCCAAAAGGCAATTGGATTTTCTTCAGCAAGAATGTTTTTTTTTTCTTTCTTGTTTTTTCCTTTGAAAAGTTTTTGCTTCTCATCTAAGAAGCTTCTTCAGTTCTTCAGAAGTCTCTCTTCAGTTCTTCTTAAAGTCTTGAAATAATATGAAGGTTGGTTTTATAGAGATAATCCAGTTGAAATTCAAATTAAATCAACCTTCAGAGAGCCCCATACAGTTTTAATAGGCTGGCATAATATAGCATTTAAATATGTCATTAAACTTTACCTTACAATCTAAGCCAGTGTTTTTCAAACTTTACAACTTTTAAAATCAGGATTTCAACTTCATACTGTGAGTTGGAAGGCCACAACTCTCCATGATGAAAATCCTGGCAGCATAACTGAGTTTCCCATTCCTCTTGTACATATACTGGTACATATACTGGTATCAAGAAAATATGGTGTTTCTATCATGCTAATCTGTCCCATTATTCTTCCCCCTAGAATCAGTATGTAAAAAAATGTCACTTGCAAGAGAAGACCAGAAGTTTTTCAGAAGTTGCTTCAAAATTCCTCATCAAACAAATAGCAAATAAAATACGATAGGGGATAAGTCCATTCAGCTACACCAACACTCTTCACTGCAGAATTTTCCATTTCTTTCCATTTAATGTCTCTGGTCTCAATGCATTGCAGTTCTGCACAGTAACTTTTTTGATGCTTCAATTAACAACCACTCATTCAGAAACAATTCAGTTATGATGGTGCTGAGCAAATGGTATCTATGACTGGTCCCCAAGTTCTGGTCGACTTCTCTCTATCATGCAATCACAATTTGGGCTGGTGACAACTAGGTCACACAACAGTTGCAGTGTCCTGTGGTCACTTGATGATTGTTTGCAACCTTCCTTGCCAGCTTCCTACAAGCAAAATCAATGGTCATAAGTCACTCCTGTAAGTCACTACCATTCTCACTGCTTTTTTTCCTGTGGAGTCTGACTACAAAGTAAGAGCCAGGTGTGCACACGCCTATGTCAGGCAACAGTCCCTCCCGCCTTCTGTTGTGCCATGGCAATCACCTGGATGCCTTTCCACACTTGGCAGCAACCACCCGCCACATGATCATGCTCACATTGCACCTTCTGGCCAGCTTGTGAGTGACTCAGTCTTGTCACTTTACCCATGATCTTCATTTAACAATAGCAATAGGGACTGTCAGAAGTGCCATCATTAAGCAATGCAATCTTACATCACACATTATGAACGCATTGCTTAGCAATGGAAATTTCAGTCCCCATTACTATTGTTAAATCAGGACTAACTGCAACTTTATTTCTGGAAAGTTTTCTTCCCATCCTTCTCTTTTGCACCTTTAGTTCTATTTTCCAGTTTCATTTCTTTATTGGACAAAATTTTCAGTTCCTCTGACCATCTTTGGTTTAATCAGGAACCCTAGATTAATCTCTATTCTTCTCTATTCAAGAAATTTCTAAGTTCAACTTTTGTTTTCTTAAAGAATAAATCCCTTGGCTAAATTAGTGATCTTTCTTTTCAGGGCAATAATTAAAGAAGAAAGAACTATTTTTCCAGAAAACAAACACAAAATGATTGAATATTTCATTCTTTCTCCTAAATTCTTCATGGATATGCTTTCTTTCATAAGGTATATCAAACACTCATGTGTAAGTGCATGTTCAATAATTGCAGTCTGCAAAATCCTCTCTGTGTTATTGTGTTAAGTTATTAATGTGAATAATTTATATGGTGTCAGAAAGATATAAGCATGAAAATACATACATATTTAAAAGAAGGTACTCTGTAAATTTAAGTCCTTTGAAGTATCCCTTTTCATCTTTTCTCCATATCACATATCATAGCATAAATACGAGTGTCCTACATATCTTATTTTGGGAGGAAGGTAGAAAAGGAATTAAGTATTAAAAAACTTCGAAGTGTTTTAAGAATGAGTGATTTAACACAACAGATTCTACAATCATCAATTACTAACAAACTAACAAAATACTTTTTTCACATCACGCCTTTATGTGACGATTTGTGACAATATGACAAACACAAGCTTCATAGCACTTCCAGGATGAAGTCATTCCACTGCTATTTGTCACTAGGCACATCAAATTATCTTGAGTTCCACTGCTGTGTGTTTTGCTTCTAGGACAGAACATAAAAGGGCTCATAACAGAAATAGATTCAATCACTTCTTGTTTATAGGAAGCCATTAAATTCAGTTTTCATATAACAACATTAATGTGCACATATACTATATTCAGTCTATACTACAAGTAGTCCTACACCAAGTGAAGATACATTCAATTAATGCAGAGTATTGGAATTGACTTGAAGCAATTGGAAAACTATTGAAGCCAACAAGCAAGTAGTAGAATAAGAATCAAGGTTAAAAAAATGAGCTCCACAGAACCTTAGACAATATCACAGATCTTTATTCCAATATAAATCCAAAATTATGTAAGCTCTTAAGTGACAATGTAGTCTCAAAACCATTGTTAGCCTTTAGATAAAAAGAATCAGTCTTCAAGATTATATCCTTGTGCTGTGTAATTGATGAATGGCTCCACATGACATCTTCAGCCATCTCTACTGAAGCAAATCATATTAAGTCAATATGTCAATTCAAAGGATAGTTCATACTTCTTGCTAGGAAAATTCAGTTCAGTAACTTCAGGAAAGTATCCAGCAATTTGAACCATTATTCAGAAAGAATTCTAAGGTGACTCTTTTAATAGCTTTTAGGCAGGTCCAAAACCACACAATCTTCAGGCAAGATCAACTGGCTCAAATCAGAATAAAGGGTCTAGGAGGTGAAAAAAATACATAGTATATCATGATTAATATATTTTTCATTGTGTTCATTGTGTAATTAAAATTCCTATTTGAACAAGTCCAAGTTGTAAGTTAGAGTTCATGGTTTGTGCAATACAGTTAGCAAGCTACAGATAGAAACCCATTTGTGGTTTAGCTACCTCTATGAAAGTAAGCAAAGAACATGACTTTAATGTCATGCACTAGCTTTACTTCTTTGTTATAGCTTAGTGTGGTATCCAAATGAATTCTTAGACTAATTTGCAACCATAGAGGCAAATACTGCAGAAACCCCATTACCCTGTAATTTTGTTTAGCATGTTTGTGATGTGCATCAAAAATACAAAATAATGCAAAATCACTAAATATAATTTGATATGAGGTTAAATGTTTGAACCAGTATGGGACAAAATAATATGAAAAACCTGACATTTATACTCTACAATTCTAACTGAATATCCCCTTCCATAAATATTAATATATTCTATGTTCAGTTCTATTATAGCTTCTAAAATTGCAAGTTATTTAAAAAATTGCAGCCAATGTAACCTTCATTTCTTTTCAGACAAAAACAAGCTAAATGATATGTTGAATATACAAAAATCAGCGTTATCATTTATTTCAAAATCAAGTATTGAACATCCCATATTGAGCTGACACTTTGACTGAATAAAAGATTTAAAACTTTTCCTTCAAATTTTCCTATGTGGCAGTTTTCCTGATTTCCCGCACTATTTCCCTCATTAGGGGAAACACTGAGAATAAAACAAAAAGCAACAACTGAGAGGATTTACATTTTAAAATAGTGCAGTGGACAAAACATTACTCTTCATCTTTCTCCATATTTTTTGTAGTTAGCGGGCAGCAGGTGCGGATGGCTGAGGAGAGCAAGGACTCAGATGAGGGGGCCAGGACCATTAGGGAGTGGACTGCTGCCTTCAGAGATTGTGCGGGATGGCAGCAACGATGAGGAATTTCCCAAGGAACATGTGCCAAGTGCACGTGCGCACAGGGTTGCTCATAGGAAAGAGCAGCTGCAACAGCACGGGTGACTCAGGAGTAAGGCTGCAAGGTAATGGACCCTCCTTCAAGAAGATAAAAGCCAGCTATGAATTGGATGTTCTTTGTAGGAAGCAAAAACGTTTTGAAACTCCAGCCTCATGGACATTGCAGTATCTTAAGTTGGTATTTGAAGACTCTTGTGTTGTAAAATATTTCTTATCTGTTATTGGCGAGGCTTGTGCTTATCAAAGTTAATTAGTCTGCAGCAGCCTTTTAACCGGGGATTCGTAAGAATCATTAAAAGGTTTCTGTTCCCTTTGGTTCGTGTTTGTTTTATTGGAAAGGGGTTTGGGTCAGAAGAGTATTGTGCTCCTAATCCATTTCCAGGAAACCTGAAACTGCTTTGCATAGAATTTTTTAAAAAATCCAATAATGGAGCTCTAGCATCTCATCTTGTTGCATTGAGAACTGCTGAAGAAACAAGATTAAGGAAAGGAATCTTGTAGAATTTAATAGTTCAGCCACCTCTTTATTTTGTCCATTATGAGAATAAAAACTATATGAATGATGTTACAATTTATAAATCCAGCATTGTGTAGACTAATTATTGTCATTGCAATTTGAGATTCTGCTGCTTGGCCTATTATAAAATTGGGCACAGGGCAATTCATTTAGTTGATGGCCTTGCCACCATAAAACAATTGTCTTAACCTCCTAGCTTTCAGCTAAGCATGTTATAAGGATTGTTTTATTTCTCCAAACCTTAAAACTCTGAGATAGTTAAATGCTATATGATCCTAATAAAATTCATTACTTTTAGAATTTTATTTACAAGTAGTCCTCAACTTATGACCACAGTTGGGAGTAGATTTCTTGTATTAAGTCATTGCGGTCATAAGTCAAGGTATCCCTGTGACGAGATTTTATTTTATTTTTTGTGTGTGGTATTGTTAGGATATATCACCATAGCTGATCAATGAATCCATGGTTGTTAAGTGAACACAGCGTTTGTTAAGTGATGGTTGTTAAGACCTACCTGTATAAGCTAAATTATAAGGACCTGTCCTAAAAGTTATCAACAACAATTCGAAATTTTCAGCCTTGAGAAGAGAAGACTATTGACAGGTCCTGGAACATGACAGCATTTTCCTCAAATGTCTGAAATGAACATCTGACAAAGGTTAAGGTTTATTTTCTGCCATTCCAGAGTACAGAACATAGAATGGATTTAAATTATTGGGAGAAATATTAGGAAATATGAATATTAGGGCAAAACTATAATAGTAAGAACAATTTGACAAAAGTGGAAACAATTAGTCAAAGAGGAGATGAGCTTCTTTTCACTGGATATGTTAAAACAAAGGGGCCAAATTGCTATTTGCCAGGGAATCCTATATTAAGACTTTTGCACAGTGCAAGATTAGATTTAAGGGGTAAATGTCCTCTTTCAGCTCTGTGATTCTTTGACTCTTCAATGGAAATTATGCAGAAGTTAGCACAAAAGTCATATTTTATACAAGTCAGTATTTTCATTTTTCACTTACCAATATTTTGACTTTCTTTTTTTCTTTCTTTTTAAAATAATTTGTCTCTGCTACTGGAAAGCAGCCTTTATGACTCTGTCATTTAGTGGCTGTGTTGGTCTGAAATTATCTCCTAAATTTCCATCGCAACCTTCTAGGAGCTCCGCCCCTTTAATATGATTCCTCAGTCCTCGAAACTCTTCTATCTAATAAAACAAGGAAATGGACATTTGACTCCCTCGATTAGTAGTTACACTGTTAAAAGTATACATTTTTAAAAAAAAATGCTAGTTATTTTTCCTCTCTTTAACATACATCCCACCATTTTAATTGTTATGACATACAAAGCTTTAAAAAAACATGTAACCAAGAATACATTTAAACTGAATTAAAATTATAGAAAAGAAATTTAAAAAAAAATCAGATACTCCCCATGCATTAATTCATTTCCCTTCTTCTCACATTAAAATTTACAATTTCTTATCATCTTTTGGAACATTTTGAAGGCTTCTGAGGTATGGTAGACTTTACTGTATCAAATTTGTGATCATTCCAAACAGAAATTGGATTAAAATAGAAATTTTTAAAAATCCATTATGAACTTGGCAACATTTCAACAGGTTTCCATTCCTTTGTTTTATGACATGATTACAAGACTGAAATGAACCAACTACATCAAAGCCACCTGGCTATTCTAACTGAAGACTAAGCTTTGATAACTTATTCTTGCTTAATAGTAACATGAGCCTTGTATTTCACAAGGAGACAACCAAATTCTTGAAAAACCAGAACAAAATCGACCATTTAAAAACAGAAAAATACAGAAAGGTTTTATGAGAGAGTAGGCAAAACTAACTCTTCTACAGAACAATATGCTTTTAAAATGAATCACTGGGATAATGTAACAAATAATTTCTTTATGAAATTTATTTTCAGTGTAGTAGTTTTCGTTTATGTGGATGAAGTTTTTAAAACCAAAGAGTTGAAATGAAAGAAAAGGACTAAAATACATTTATTAATTCAATGTTAGATATAGTGTACTATTAAAATGTATCTTCTTTTCCAGTAGGACTTGTCATTCTGAATAATGATTTAAATTCTTTATGATCAGATTTTTTAAATTTTGCTACTATTAACCTGGTCTGGCTCAGTAGCCTTTACACTTCTATTTTAAACAAGAATAGCAGGTGACCTGCAGTCTACTATTAAACATAGCATATGCCCATAACTGTCTGTTACCTGCTGGCCTTGCTTGTAATACTGTAATCATGTCCTTTTGTCAAACATGGATAGTAGCAAGAAGGAAGCCTATATCATTCAAAAAAAAAAAAGTCCTTTCAGAGAAGCAGAAACCAAAGTTTCCCATTAAGAGAGAATTGCATGTAATTGTCCCCTAGACTCAGGTGAGTTATGTGTCAGCTATGAAATATTCTGGCACTGGTTGAAATGGCTCTGGAGAGCAAAACTAGCCAGCAACTACTGGATAGTGTTGCATTAAGTCCCCAGCACATAAATAAACAAATAACATATGTTTGAACATCTGCTAGTGTTTATTTTAAGGGAAACAAGCATAAAGGTTGTTTTTTTTTAAAGAAAACTGCTGGGCATTTATTTATTTCTCTTTTCCCGTCTACTTTTCTGACTTTCTTTCATAGTAAGTTTTTATTTTTATAATATAAGAACTAAATGGTAACAACAGTTCTTCATTTCTAACCTTTCCATTTTAATAACACAAATGATTTAACCTTTATTTTAAAAGCCATAAACTGGTCAATTTAATGAGATCTCCAAGGAAAAGCAAGTATAATGCCTTGCAATGTATTTGTATGCTGTAACCTTTCACTGAGAATGTCAGGCTGTGGTCCTAAGAACAACCATTACCTGAACTTGGGATATCGTTAAAGGATATCTAAATAAGATCCACGTAACACCTTCACTGCAGGGTGGAACCGTGAGAGAGCCTTCATACACCCAATAGTCTCTTAGCAGTGGATCTGAAATTGAATGGATACCGTGGTTTGAAAGCAATAATGTAAACATATTTGAAGAAATGAAATCATCTTACAGTATGCAATCTATAGCTGTTCAAACAGAGCCCCTACGAAGAATCTCATAAAAGGCAACCTGCAGGATTTTATCCCTAGATTGTTCCGCAGCACAGAAAGGTTTGTGTAGACTGATTTTCTAGCAGAATGCAACAGAAAACATGTTTTCCAATATAGGTCTTATAAAAGCAATCCTTTCCTTTAGAAACATTTCAAACTGAAAGCAGAGCAACCACAATACTTCCTATAGTTTGGTACCTCCAGTTTGTGGACATGCATAAGAACCTCTAACAAGAAAAATATCTGAAATAGCCCAGTTATCCCCCTATTGCACTGAACTCAAGATATAGATGTAGGATATTTGTGCAAATAAGTTTTTCTGGTGTTTTGTGACTATATAGCTTTCATTTCCATGTAACAGCTTCAGTTTTAATCTTTCACTTTTCAGAATTATCCCAAACAAGTGTACAAATTTAATGCTGCTGACCTTTTCTTCCTAACAGTTTTTCTTTTGCCTATGTTTTTGAAGTTCCTACCATGTTTAATATAGCTGCCTCACATGTAAATAGTTATCTAGTTCCTACTGAAATCTATTAAGAAGTAAATATGTATAAAACTGTTGTCTATATATACTTAGCTTTATCACGTTTGGTTGAAAAACACTGTCATGCAATTATCTAATGTACTTAAATAATGGAATGATAGGAACAAAATTTAAAAACAGATGAAGGGTTCTTCCATTACAAACAAATAATGCTGAAGGTCGAAGAGGAGGAAGGCAGTTGTTATAAGCTACAGATCAAACAACTGTGCAAATTAATCTGAATATTGGTGCTACTGTAGACATTAGACATCCAAAGGAACATCAGGCATGTTGTTGTTGTTGTTATTATTATTATACACAAAAAACAACGGTGTACACAGCAAACGAGATGACTAGGCTGGGGTTCATATCACAAATCACTAGTCGAACACTTCCCAAACGTTTAGGACTGCATGATGTATCGGCGGATTACGTGAGCAGATCCCAGTAAGATGGCCTTTTGAAGCTGACCAATGGTGATTTTGTCAGCACCAATTGTTTTTAAGTGCTTGCCTAGGTCTTTAGGCACAGGACTCAGTGTGCTGAGTAACACTGGAAACATCTGCACTGGTTTATGCCAGAGTCTCTGCAGTTCGATTCTCAAGTCCTGATATCAGTTGTTTCTTGTCAATTCTGCTGTCACCAGGTATGGCAATGTTGATGATCCACACTTTTTTCTTCTCTACAATCATGATATCTGCAGTATTGTGTTCCAAATTGTGTTGTCAGTCTGTATTCGGAAGTCCCACAGTAATTTTGCATGCTCATTTTCGACCACTTTTTCAGGCTTATGATCCCACAAGTTCTTTGCTACAGGCAGATGGTAGTTGTGACACAAGTTCTAGTAGATCATCTGAGCGACTGTGTTGTGACATTGTTTGTAGTCAGTCTGAGAGATTGTCTTGCAACAGCTCAGTATGCGATTGATGGTTTCATCCGCTTCTTTGCAGAGTCTGCATTTGGGATCATCCGCAGGTTTTTCTATTCTGGCTTTGATTGCATTTGTTCTGATGGCTTGTTCTTGGGCTACAAGAATCAGGCCTTCTGTTTCTTTCTTCAGTGTTGATCAGCCATAACCAGGTCTTTTCCTTATCTACTTTTCCTTGGATCTTTTCAAGGAACTGTCCATGCAGTGCTTTGTTATACCAGCTGTCAGCCCGAGTTTGCATCTCTGTTTTCCTATATCGATTCTTGGTTTGCTGCACTTTGAGCAGCTTGCTATTGTTGACCTCCATCAAAGCTGGTTCAACACTGTCTTTCACATAATCTGCCAGAGTATGCTTCTTTTCTTCCACTGTCTGCTTCGCTTGCAAAAGACCTCTGCCACCTGCTTTTCTGAGCAAATACAGCCTGTCAATGTCACATCATCATCATCATCATCATCATCATCATTATTATTATTGATTTAATCTTCAATTCAATTCACAGTCTGGGATCAGTAAAAACTTAACAGTTCAAGAACTTAAGAGGTGTTAATGTAATGTCTGAGTATATACTGTAGACAGATTTTTTGCAAATTCAGTGTTAATAAGTTCAAAAGGTTCATGTATCTAGGCAATCCTTTGGGTATTGCTCTAAGGGCTCCTATTACTATTGGAACAATCATTGATTTCTTCCTCCACAATCGCTCAACTTCAATGTGCAAATCACAATATTTCATAATTTTTTGTAGCTGTTTCTGTTCAATTCGTGCATTACCTGGTATTGCAATAGCAATAAATATTATTTCTTTTCCACAATAGTGATGTCAGGCATGTTGTGGGCCAGAAGTTTGTCTGTTTGTATCCGAAAGTTCCACAGGATCTTGACCTGTTCATTTTCAAAAACTTTGCCAACTTGGTGTTCCCAGTGATTTTTACTACATTCAAACCCAAACTTCTGGCAAACCTTCCAATGTATGATTTTAGCAACTCGATCATGACGTTGTAGATAATCAGTATGTGAAATTTTGCTGCAGCCACTGATAAGATGATCCACTGTTTCATCTTTCTCGTTGCATAAGCGACATTTGCTGTTGTTACTGACATGTTTCCTTTCAACATTCTGCTCTCAATCTCATTGTTTTTAAGAGGTTTCCCTTGTTCATCTCCTTTACCATTATTATTATTATTATTTCTTTTATTCATTAAACATGAAACAATCAACTGAGCATTTAAAAATGTATGACAAATATCATTGACTGGCACTAATGGTGATACAAGTGGCTGCCAGCATCCTAGGTATCAACCATATCACATTTTTATGCAAAGACTCTAACTATTAACAAAACAAAAAAAACACCAAGTGTTTAGTGTGCACAAAAATGTGCTGGCACAAAAATAAGTACTCACCTGGTAATAATGTGTTAGGATTGAAGCAAGGTATTGTCTTGGAATTGTCCTGAAAAGTTAATAGAATCCAGATTGTTTTTAGTTTTTAAACAAAAAAAAGATGTGAATTTATGGAAAAGTGTACTGTAATTTCTGAAGTACTTCAAAAGGAAGGAAGGAAGGAAGGAAGGAAGGAAGGTTCAAAATGCCACATCATTGTTCAGATTGGACTTAGTCTTAAAATATCTATCAATCTCTAACAATATCAAAGTGATTGGGATTAATAATACTCTGAATTGAAAATAATGACTTGAACTAGAGACAACAGCTTGGATACTACAAATGTAGAATCTTCAAAATATACAATTGAATGTTTCACATAATCCAATTCTAGCAACATGGAAACCAATATAGTTACAATGCATCTAGAAAATCTTCCCTACTATAAATGTTTACTGCAGGTTCAGTATCCAAAATTCCTACACAGGGCTATAGTAGAAGACTATTCACGAATGGTATCCTTTTGGATTGTCTGGAAGGTTGATCTTTGGGGTCACTATTTCGCAAGAGTTCTGTTCCTTTCTCTCAAGTCAAGCTCAGAAGGAATGTTTATACTGAGGTATGATGAGCCATATGATTTCATTTTTCCTCCCTTCTGTTCAAGATTATTTGGGGGGAGGGGGAGGGTTATCCAGGTGTTTAAAAAGGGTGTCATCAGTAGGCCTATAGAATTTTAGAATTCAAATCTAACAATGCCAGTACCATTTATAATGGCCTAAGTTCAATAATAACTAGAAGACAGAACAGATGAAAGTTAAATCAAGATAAGTCAGACGTGTTCATGGCAAACTGGAATTTTGAATTGTGAGATAGCTTATTTTTTATTAAGTTTTAGTACACCTGTAAAAGTAGGTCCCTATTTTGGAGCACTTATAGATTTTTTAGCTTATTTTATTTAATTGTTTGATTGATTGATTTCTATAGCAAATTACTTTGGGCTGCTCACAATTCATAAACATGTATTACAATTAAATTCCTAAAAAAAGTTTAAAAATAAAAACAATAAAAAAAAGCCATTAAAACACTAAAAACATTAAAATCTCTAAAGCTGCTTATGGCTCTGAGCTGGAAGCATATTTGCAAATTAAGCATAGTTTCACTTTGGCTATCAAATTAAAGTTTATATTTTAGCTGACTCGTGTCTTGATTATAAAGATGTTTCTCTTTTTTATTAATCAATGCTAATGTCAAATGTGATTTTTAATATAGAATTGCAATTAATATTTCAATATTTTGGATGTTAGAGGAGAAAAGAGAAGTATAAGTATATTAAATAAATGACTACTATACATTCCATTTCTGCACAAATTCAGATCACATTAAGTCCCTGATCCCCAATACCTTGTGTATTGAAGATATTTTACCTTATACTGAATGTCTTGCAGAATCTCGGTCACAGCCTTTAGGCCTGAATGTTCCTTTCCTATCTGAAATAAAACCAAGAATGAATACTGAAATATAATAGAGGTTATTCTACCTCTGAAATAGGTTAAACAACGCATTACTCTCTGACGTTTTGGTATATCAAACTAAATACAAGTAATGTTATTCATGATGCATATATGTTGTTGTTCTTATCTGAAGTTCAAAATGTTCATGTTGTTGTTTCTCACATGAAAAACCATCTTCTTTCTAAAGAGTTCAAGGGAACTTACCTCTATTATATCCTAACAACAAGAATGCTATGTGACAGGTTGTAAGCAAATAATTACCAGACTTATCAGGAGTTTTTTACAATCTACTTAGATTTAAGCTTGGCTCATCAAGGTCTTAGTCTCCACTGCTCTTGGTACACTGTAGTCTTGTTTCCTTTCTTCTCAGTTTGTCCTTTCCTCATTTAACTTACATATGTTATGAAAGAACAAAACAGAGAAAAAAGGAAATAAAAACTAAAGTGGGTTTAGAAGGCTAGGAAAGAGTAAGAAGACCTTGCATGATACTTTTCTGAGTAAGGTATGAACTGCCATGGACTTCTTATCTATGATGCAATATAGGCTATAAAGTAATTGCATAATCAGCAGTTGAAGGACTGATTCCATGAGATATTGTATATATTGCAATTCTGTACAGGTAGTTAATCATGATTATTAGATTTTTTTAATCCCACATTTTTATATAAAGGTATATAAAATGTATGTCATGTGCATATTTATAATGTTATTCTATAATATCTTAATTGCAAGCATGTACATGTGTGTAATTAGAAAAAAACTATTCCACATTGAGTTTGAACGGGATTTTAAAATCAGCTGGTTTCATTGAAGGTCCTTCTATTACTCCAGACGTATGGTCCTTTGTTAGAGTGCCCGACTTGACAAACTGAATGAATTGAATTGAATGCAATTGAATGAATAAATAAATGTTGGCAGGGACATGAAGAATATAAGATTCCAAGGAAGGAGTTAAAGGGAATGCTAATAAGTCAAGTTCAGCTAGCTAATGTGAGACACTAAGAAGGGAAAAAGCACAAATAAAAGTTTTAATATTAATGGTATCCAAACAAGCAAAAATGAAGAACAACTATAAGCAATTAAGACTCACAAATTGTGCCATGGTTGCAGGAGCCTGAAAATAGTATTTGCAGTAAAAGCACGTTCACAGCAGTCCCTGAAGAAAAATCAATGGTTCAGGATAGCAAATGGCTATACTTTGAATGATAAGATGATGTATCAACTCAAGAAAATGAATCCCCCACAATAGAAACACATAATAGGAGAAACTCTCAATAAAGTGGGGAAGAGAAACAAGATCAGTGGATTAGAGTAACAACCAGTAGCAAAGGACAGAAAAGGCATTCCACACTGCTGTAACAATTTAAAAAACTGATTTTAGATCCTTGAAGATAAGGCTGACTATTCAAGGGGAAAAAATAGATACCTCAGAATTAAGGACAGTCACAGACACAACTTTGCTCTATAAAAGACAAAGAGAAACTGATAATTCACTGTTATAAAGAACTTAAAGAAATGCTGATGAATTGCAGCGAATGCCAGGAATAAAGATCAGGTACATGACAGAACAGCTTCTCAGAAAAATGGGAAGATAGAGGGGACTAAAAATATACCTCTTCTGGATCTGTGTAGATAAATGATGCTCTATAGAAATGTATAATAGTAATAAAACAGACATGAGAATAAATGGAATGTTTGGTGACTAGTGGAGTCCTTGGTGCTGAGTTTGGATTTATTATTTTTATTATACTTAATTAATAATTTTTTTTAAAAAAAAGGTGATGGATGTAGAGTGGCAGATTAAAATGACAGAAGAGCACAATCCAACTGAAAATAAAACCTCTACATTATAAAAGACAATTTGACTACAGAACCAATTACACAGAATAGTGATTGCTTCCCTTTGGTTGGATGGGTTCAAAAGTTAATTTTCTATTCTTTTCAAATTAAAGGGTGCAGTCTCTGGGAAGGGAAATGAGAGAACATTCAAAATTCCATCAGATTATTGCACAAAATGAAGGTTGTTCTCAAAAACATAATTTTGGATATTAAAAAATGCAAAATATAAACACATTTGGAAGCTGATTTAAAATGCATTAACTGGATAGAAAACATTTGCATAAGTTAAACAACCTTCACCAACGTCTTGCATATTTGCTGGGCTCAGTTTAGTTGAATTTTGTTTGTTTTGGCCATAAGAATAAAACACTGGAACCATGTAATTGAGCTGCAAATACATCCAAGTGATTATAGAGTAGAAGCAGCTCTAAAATGTGGACAGCATTTCATTCATAACAACAAAAGTTGCATTCTGAGTCCAAGCCACAATATGCAAATGATTGGTACCGGAGAGGCATATAAACATATAAATAGGAACCATTGATTATTATTTTTATTAACTAGCATAAAATCTAATTGGGCTGTTTTGACTCAAGCCTTAGAAAAAAGCTATTCAAATATCTACAACTCTTAAATATCCCACAATATGCACCTCATCCTAGATAGTCAATTGTTATTTGTACCTAAAGGTAAAGGTTCCCCTGCACATATATGCTAGTCGTTCCCGACTCTAGGGGGCGGTGCTCATCTCCGTTTCAAAGCCAAAGAGCCAGCACTGTCCAAAGACGTCTCTGTGGTCATGGGGCCGACATTTCCTACTTGCATTTTTACATGCTTTCGAACTGCTAGGTTGGCAGAAGCTGGGACAAGTAATGGGAGCTCACTCCGTTACGCGGTGCTAGGGATTCCAACCGCCAAACTGCCGACCTTTCTGTTTGACAAACTCAAGTGTCTTAGCCACTGAGCCACCTATTATTTGTACCTAGTTGCTTATAATTATATGACATGAATTTATAAATATGTCCCTAGCTGCTTGTAATTATATAACATGTACTTATGTGTATGTTTTACATGAAATGAATTTGGCATTCACCCAATTGGTTCTTAATCATAGGATATGCAGCGCTTAAGAATCAAGTGAAGAGTTATTTTCAATTAAAGTAAAAATACCTACTCCTCCTGCCAAAAAAAGATTACATTGAATCGAGAATGGGATGGAGTAATACGTTAAAGAGATTTATTTAACAATTTAACTTTCTGAGTAATTCCAAGGTTAGATCTGAAGAAATTGGATAACAGCTTCCAAAGCAATTATAGTCCTTTCTGCACTAGAGCCATATATCTTTCCAATCAAACTGAAGTCTACAAGGAATTTAGGACAGGGGAAATAGAAGTCTACAAAAAAGCATTCAAATATAGATCATAAAAAAGCATTTCTAGTTGCAATTCACTATTATACGATAGGTAGTCCATGACTTACAAACACAATTGGAACTGAAATTTTCCTCATAAGTCATTGCAGTCGTAAGTTGAGTCGGAAGATCCATTTTTACAACAACAAAAAATCAGTGGGTATTAAGCAAATCACCAGGTCATTAAACAAATCCAATTTCCCCTTGCGTATTCTTTGCCAGAAATTGGCAAAAAATGTTGCAAATCATGATCACATGACCACAGGGCTCTACAAAGAGTCATAAATATAACCAAACTGCCAAGCACCTGAATTGACATTATCTTGAGGGGATGCAATGGTTGAAAGTGCAAATATGGAACATGAGTTATTTTTTTCTAAGATCATCATAGCTTTGAACCATAATTAAGTGAATGTCCATAAGTCAAGGGCCATTTGTATCCTGTTACTTGGAAGTTCACAGCAGTTCCAGACATGATATGGTCCATGATCCCTTCACTCTTCTAAACGTCTCCTATATTTCTCTTCTAAGTTGGGGAGCAACACAAAACTCAAAACTACTTTAAGGAACCCTGTTGGGGTCCCAGAGAACCCCCATAATGAAATTGCTTCTGAAAAATGTAAATTTATTTTTTTTGTCAGAAGAAGAAAGAAAATGGATAATTCGAAAACCTAATAAACCTTTATTGAATAAAGATCCCAACTTATCACAACCTTAGTAATTCCATCCTGGTTCATCTGCACAGCATGAAAAGATGCTGAATTCAGTTCACCAAAGTTCAACTTTTATAAGTTCAGTTTATTCACACAAACTTAAGTGGCATCTGAAGCTTGAATGAAAGGAACTCAATATGCCAAAAACATAGAGTATAATTGACATAATGACAGTCTGCTTTTGTTTCTGTAATAGCTGTTGAAGGGAGTAATTGACACCCATAGTTTCACCCATCACGGTTGTATTACAATGAAACTGCAATTAAGAGACAATAAATGATCATGGCAAAGAGAAGGAAAATTACCTGCACAAATAAGGCAATAATGGCTATGCCATTCTTCTTTCCAACTGCTTCATCAATACTGTGATACATGGTAGTGTTCCAGTGGATCAGATGAAGCTGGAGAGAGACAGAAAAAGAGGGGAGGGGAGAGGCACAAAGATCACTTGTAGCAAAAAGACACTGCATGGATAAGACATTTTCCAGCAGTTGCTGGTTAGAAGCCCTTGCCAAGATCATTTTCACATAGTAACATTACAGGGCAGATAGTCAGCATAAAAAAATTAATATGTAAATAAAATAGAAACTGTTTTTGAAATGTTTCTATTTTGTCTTTGCACACAATGACCTAGAATCTTCTAACATTTTAATGAAAACAATTAACAAAAATTGTAAAGCATTGCCAAACATCCTAAAAACAAGTGAACTACAATTAAAACAACAACCTAGTAGCTGTAGCACACTTAGCATAATAAAGGCATTTATTAATGTTTTTACAGAGTAGTTGAGAGAAACCTGTTGGGATACCAGGTAGATTTTCCAGAGGAACACGTTCCAATTTGATGGGGTGCCAGACAGAAACTTAACAGATTAACATATAATCAGAGTTGGAAGGGACCTTATAGGTCATCTAGTCCAACCCCCTGCTCAAGCAGGAGACCCTACACCATTTCTGACAAATGGTAGTCCAATCTCTTCTTGAAGGTCTCAAGTGATGGGTCTCCCACAACTTCCAAGGGCAAGCTGTTCCATTGGTTGATTGTTCTCATTGTCAGAAAGTTTCTCCTTATTTCCAGAAATGATCTTTTCCAGGAGCCACTACCTGATTCTTCCAATAAGATCAATATTTAGATAGGTTCAAATGCTGCTATTCAGAGGAATTGTGCTCATCTCCATTTCAAAGCCATTGAGCCAGAACTGTGTGAAGATGTTTCTGCAGGTATGTGGCCAGCATGACATCATGGAGCACTGTTACCTTCCCACAGAAGTACTGCCTATTTATCTACTCACATTTGCATGCTTTTGAATTGCTAGGTTGGCAGGAACTCGAGAAAGAATGGTCCCATCGCACAGCTCTCAGATCTCAAACCTGGGCTGTCAGCTTTCCAACTGACGAGCCTAGCATCTTAACTGCTAAGTCACCAAACTGCCCCATCTACTAATGGATGTGTATAAAAACCTCTTTTGATAATTTGCAAATCAAGTTAGCATAGGTCATAAAGTAATAATATTAAATGAATTTTAATCAAATGCATATTCTAAAGGCAAAAATGAACTGCACAGCCTTTCAAAACTGGATGTTTAATTCAAAAATCTTCACTACTATCTAGCTCATGGGTGTCAAACCCGTGGTGTCACATTGCCATCACGTGACGTTTCACAATTTTTCTCCTTTGTGGAGCTGGGATGGGCGTAGCCTGTGTGTGACGCACCCAGCTCACAGGCGGCCAATTTGACACCCCTGAATTCTAGCTGGATATTGGACAATGAACATTAGTAAGTCATATTCATTGTACAATTTCTTATAGTATCAATATATTTTAGAACAAAAAGAGAAATATTCATATTACACAATATACAATGTGACAGAAGGTGCTTATCACTCAGCTTAGCATTCAGAATATGTTAATGTGATTAATGAATTTAAAGAATCAAAATATATTGTTTGATTTTGTTCTTTTCAATTATTTGTCAAGTTTTAAAACTACTGATATTTTTTCCTTCTCTCAATGCTAAATTATTCATTTAAATACCAAATCATGTGTTGACATTTCAGTCTCCATTTCTTTTTAGTATTATGCTAGCAAAAAAAAACCACCCTCCTGCAATAAATCCTGTCTGTTTTAAGCATATTTTTAATTAGCATTTCTCATTGTCCCCACTAGAGGGCACTCATGCTCTCTGTCTATCACATTAAATAAAAAACAAAACAAAGAAAAAGTTATTTTTCTCTTTTGATCTTACAGACAGATCTACAGAAAGAAAATCCTTGCATTAAAGAGTTAAGGGTCTAGACACAAATACTATTGTGAAAATAGTGTTCTCTGTGTGTCTCCAACTGTTATCTTTTTAATGTCAACATATAGAAGAAAGAAAGTTGTAACAATGCTATGAAAGACAATAGTCAAGTTTATATGGGCGATTTTATGCATGTTACTGGATAAATCCATGGAGAGAGCTAGCATCAAATTCACAGAGGTAAATTGTTGCAAAGGATCTTTTTCTCTCTTAAATAGAAAAATACTGCTTGTAAAGAATTTTAAAGAAAAAGTGAAGTAAGATATTTCATGTATTTATTTTAAAAAGAGCTATTTATGTCAAATTGAGACAAGAATTGCAATGTATTTTTAAAACAACTTTCATAACTAATTTTTCAGTTTCAGTTTGTGACTGATGGTACCTGATCATTCCAAATATATTTACTAGATTCATTGTCCTACCAAAAAACATGATGAAATTTGTTTTTCCATCAAATTTTTAGAAATTTACTCCCCAAAAGAAGATACTTCCAGGAAAAAAAAAGTACCTTCTGATTGCAGTCAGTATTCTAACTGAAGTCATGGACTACAATAGATTCATCTATGGCATTATATTAGTAAGAAAAGAGAGGAAAAGGCCATTCTGATTATTTCTTAGAGGAAAAAAATACAACCTGGTCAACTTACCTCCTGATCTTATAAAAACATTTCCTCCCTTAGTCTATTCAACCGTTTGACTTTTCTATTTTAAACCAGAATCATTTTGAGGAAGTGGCCTGGTTCACTTATCATAGAAAGCCATAATGGGACCTGTTTGGTTGGTTATAAAGGAACTCAGCCATTTTCACTTAATGCATAATGCTTTAGTCAACAAACCACTCTGCTAAAATCCAACCAACAGAATATCAATAGTTTGCTTAGAATATTTTCCTCAACTCTGTGCCCTCCCATTTAGTTGGAAACAGAATTCATAATTTATTTATTTATTTGAATTCATTAGCTGCCCAACTTCAATTGATTAATCAGAAAACCTTTGAAGAAACCAGGTTTTTAGATGATAAACCAAACATTCTTTAAACATGGATGGATGGGTGGGTGTTTGGTTGGATTAGAATAGAATTAGTCATCTTATATATAGTCATCTTATATATAGTCATCTTATATACTCTGAAAAAAAGGTTTTATCTATTCAAGATGTCCTTAACTATGTCTCCCCTAAACCCCATACTGTATTAAAATATTGTGGCTTTGCTTCCAGAAAAAGTTCCCAGTTGCCCAAGTGATTCTTGAATCCTATAGGGCTATTCTAGTTCATGTCTCTGTTTTACATCCAACTTAGTTCCAGTTTGAGCTCTTACATAAACCTTCAGGAATCAATAGATGAACATCTATCTGAATTGCATGACCAGTGGGCCCTGGATGAAATGGATTACTGCAACCCCTTTCAGTCAGAACTCAGGCCTGGGCATGGGATGGAAACTGAATTGGTCACTTTGAGATGATTTCTCAAAGTGTCTTTGCTCTCCTTGAGCTTTCAGTGAGCTCTGATAGCATCAACCAAAATACCCTTCCGGATCAGTTCTGTGCGATGGGAGTCAATATCACAGTATTGGGCTGGTTTTTTTTTCTTTCCTATGAAGCAGTCCAGTTACTGATGATTGGGAGTGAGGTCACACCTGTAATTCCTATTATGTGGGATGCTGCAAAGTTCAGTAATCTCTGTTCCTATTTATCATCTACATCAGGGGTGTCAAACTCGATTTCATTGAGGCCTCATCAGGGTTGTGTTTGACCTTGGGGGGGGGCTGGATTGGGCATGGCCACGATGGAAGTGGCCAGCTCAATGTCACTTGTGTCAGGGGTGCCTGTGGTGGCCCGAGTGCTCTATCAGTGAAAACGGAGCTTGTGCGGCCTTCCCGAGCTCCATTTTCACTAGTAGTGGGTTGCAGGAGGCCGTGTTAGCTGAAAAAGGAGCTTGGGAGCCCGTTTTCTCTGGCAAAAACACCACATGCCAGTCCTTCGCTATTTCTAGGGCAGCCCCATGGACCAGATCTAAGTATCCCGTGGGACGGATCCGGCCCGGGGCCTTGAGTTTGACACCCCTGTCGACATGAAGTTAATGGGTAACATCATTTCTTGTCATGGGATGAGTAATTACACTGATAATACCCAATTATACGTTTCCATCCCTGTCAAACTAAGCAATGACATTAATGTCTCATCCAAATGCCTGGAGGTTGCGGGGATCTGAATGGGAAACAGTAGGCTTTAAATGAACCCCAACAAGACCGAGTGGCTCTGGATTTGGGGCAATTTTTTATCTGATATTTTACCAACTTTGGCATGGATGGGGTTGCACTACTTCAGACAAGAAACATGTGCAATCTAGGGGCCTTCTAAACTCATAGCTCCTGCAAAAGGAGCAAGTGGCAATCTTGGCTAGGAGGGCCTTTGCACAGCTTTGTGTTGTATGCCAGTTGCGCCCCTTCCTGGACCACAAGGCTCTGCTCATAGTCACTCATGCCCTGGACACCTTCTGACTGTATTATTATAATGTGCTCTACATGAGACTGCCCTTGAAAAGCATCTGGAAGCATCAGCTGGTAAAGAGTGTGGCTGCATGGATAGTTATGTGCATCCTAGGGTGGCACACTAATAACTTTGTTCCACAAGATGCACTGGCTGCTGGTTTGTTTCTGCATACAACTCATGGTGCTGGTTTTGACCTTTAATCCCATGTTATCTAAGGAACCACCCTTTCCCAATGACATCTACAGATCATATCAGGTTAAGTAGGAGAGGTATGCTCTGGGTCTCATCTACCAAGTAGCTCTATCTGGCATACCTTTTCGGCACTGGCTCCTGCTCTTTGGAACATCATTCCCTTCCCCCAGGTGAGATTAGCCTTTCAGAAAGTTTTTGGAACATGGTTTATCCGGAAACCTTGGGGATCTTGTGGGTAGCCTATGAGTAGGTTGTATTGTGCCTAAATAGTTTTTCTCCTGCAATCATGCTTTTTATTTATTTTTATGTATACTGTTTTAAGTGTTTTAATGGTTGTGACCTTGTTTAAAGTGTTAGTTGTACACTGCCCAGAATCACATCTAGTGAAATGCGTGTCCATATAAATTTGCTAAATAA